GAATTCACTAATCAAAGGTTTTTTAATGGAGATCATGGAGAATATAAGGCTGTATGGAAACTAGAACATTATGGAAACGGAGAAACCAGGCTCTATTCATAGCAACTTCGAAAGGCTTTGATAAGTACATGGGGTTTATATATAAATGCTGGAGCATTTCAATTTGGGATTTTTAAAAAATTTGTAAAAATCAGTATATACCTAGGTGAAAATAGTAAAAAATGGCTTTTCTCAAAATTTTTAACCCCCCGTTGCTAGGGTCAAATGACCCCCACTGTGTGAACAATTTTATTTAATTTTTATATTTTTGGGACATTTGTGAGAAGAGGCAGTGAGATTAAAAAAAGTATCACTCCTCCTTCCACAAATGATCCCAAAAAAAAAAAAAAAAAAAGTTGGTTTACCCAGTGGCGGGCATTTGACCTAGGACAACGGGAGGGTTAAATGTCAAGGAGGAGTAAAAAGGTGTCCACTATTGGCATATCATTTATTGTGGCATTATATTCAAATTTGTTTCACAATATTTCAGGGTTAGAAACCAGGGTTAAAAAAAAGGGTGACTTTTAAACGCTGATTATTCTGTTTCTTTTAAATCCAAAAAAGGGAATCTTTCCAGCCCCATAGGGATTAGATACATTTTCTAACTCTCTGGATTACAACAAAATTATGCAAATTAAAAATTAAACGTATTGTATCAAAAAAAACATAAAAAATTACATGCCATGTAGTTACCAATAAAATGGTATGGGGTTTTCTGTAGCTCACTGGTAGAGCAGGTGTTTAAATCCAAGGTAGTGGGTTGATTTCCCGGACCACCCATACAAAAAAAAAATTTTATGCAGCATGACTGAAAGTCGCTTTGGATAAAAGCGTCTGCTAAATGGCATATTATTAGGGTGATGTGGTTTATACTCGGAAATACATTCAAAAAAGGAAATAAATGATCTCACTTCAATAAATTAATAGAGTTAGCAAAAATAGATAAGATCTTGCTACCATGGAAAGGGGGGTTTGCCTGTCAATTTGTGGAAAAATCACCCTGATTAACTCTTAGTATTACCCCAGTTTACCTATTGCTTATGGTCTTGCCTACGCCTAGCAAAACAGTTTTTTAAATTATATGAAAAAAAATATTCAATTTTTATTTGAAACGGCAACCCAGACAAAATTAAACGGGCCTATTTATATAATGAATATGAATTCGGAGGACAGAAATTATTAAATTTTAAAAGATTACACCTATCACTAAAAGTTTCAGTCATACAAAAGTTATACTTAAACCCGAACTGGTTCCTCTAGAAAATTAGTAAGATTGTCTCACCCAATGTACTGAATGAATTGAAGGAGGGGGACTAAAATAACTAACAACAAACATAACAAGATAACTAATAAGGTAGGCACGCTGTGCCCATAATAAATGTATGGGTTGTAGGTTGGGAGCTTTTGTGAAGGAGCACAATTAGAAAGGGTATGGCATTAAAAGCAAACCGGATGGAAATCATGAAAATGATCGGAGAGGTTGAGAGTAGAAGAAGTTCAGGAGAAAAAAACAAACAAAAAGTAATTATTGTAAAATTGACGTCCATAAAATGTAGATAGTGGGTATGGGCTGGAAGTAGAGGCCTAGGCGTTGTTTTTCATAGTTTACCCAAGTGGGGAAAGGGTGGCGGGGGTTGTAAAGTAATAAAAGGGGAATATATATATTTTTAAAGGATAGTATGTTTGTATGTGGTGTGTTTGTGTGTGTATGTGCATATATAATAATATATATTATATATATTATATTAATATGTTTTGTTTTGTGATATATGTATGTATGTGTTAATATTGTATTATATATAAAAAAAAAAAAAAAAACATAAAATAAATAAAAGATTCTGGAGCATCGTCGCGTGCTGCTGGACGCTCCCCCCTTGGTACCCGGAGGACTGGATGCACCTGTGACTCATATTGGTGTTGTTTCTGTCAAGGTCAATGGTGCAGCGGTAGGACGGGGTCAGGCGCAGGAACAAAAAACTGAGTAAACAACGTTACTTTACTCAAAAAATAAACAACATATTTCCACGCAGGGGAAAAAACACCAGCTCCATAAGTCTTGACACAAAACAAAGAAAAAAAAACATGCACAAAACCATGTGAGAACAGAGGGTTAAAAAAGGGAAATAAAATAATGTAATGGGAACAGGTGTGTACAATCAAGACAAAACAAATGGAAAAATAAACATATATTGGTTGCAGCTAGAAGCCCCGGTGGGCGAACGACCGCCGACCGCCGACCCGAACAAGGAGAGGCACCAACTTCGGCGGAAAAGTCGTGCCAATTACGGATGAAGATCTGACGTTGTTCACGGGTTTACAATGCAAATATTTATCCCAAGGTTTGTCAATGCTGAAAATTGGTTACCATAAATGCCCTAATCCCTGTGGTTTCACCTCAAAAAAAACTGTTCGTTGATGAGTTTTTTTAAAAAATCCAATGTATTTCCACGCAGATTCCACGTCACAAACTTTGACAAATTACGTTTGAAAACAATGTTGATTGAACCAGTTTGTGCCCAGTGGGTTTTTATTCCTTCCCAAATCGATCAGCATTGCACTGATCTGTGAGAGAATTCAACAGGCACGTAGGGGTACATTGAAAATACATGCCTCTAAGATGAAGTTCTCAAAAGAATAGCTGCATTTTATTATGGTGGGTATACTAAAGGCCTTAGAGCTAAGTTCCCAGCCTTGTAGTTAGAAGGAAATTTTATGGAAGCCATGTTTGAGGAAACCCCTACAACAGAATGAAAAAATTGTTTTTTCGATCAGGCTGTTAATGTAAAAATGTTCCTCATAATTGGGCAGGGAGTTGAGGTCTCTGCTTGCTGGGTGGGTATGGGTTTTTTAGTATGACCTAACAGAGGCTTGAGTGTTGTGAGAGGTGGGTAGCAGATAATCTATTAGACTTCACCCTGGAAGATGGTTAGAATGCCAAGTAATTGGCCAGTCATGCCAACCCCACACACAGAGGACCCCAGGATGACTGGGATCACCATAACTGACACCGCTCAGCAGAGCCAATAGGGTGTATTCTATTGAACTGTGGTGTGGTAGTAGTGAATTTTGCTATGCTAATAGTGTAGCTGATAAAATATGACAATGAGAGAGCAAAGGAGGACTTTCCCGAGTCCTTTCCAAAGTGGAAGCAACTTATACATGTCTTAGGTGACATTTTCTGGACACCGTTATATCACAGTCTTTTCTGAAAACCCTTGCTCTCTCAGGTTTCACTCCTACAACCCAAGGGATGAATAGGTAGAATCAAAGATGAAGGTTTCCCAAATACTCAACAGGACATTTTAAATTGAAGTAGAAAGAAACGCACAATGCAATCCAGTGGAAATAAGTATTCATTTTCCTGGGGAAACATTTGTTGTTGAAATGACCGCAGGAAAGGGAAGGTTACTTAACGAGGTAGGCTTTTACAGTTACATATAGACTAACATTTAACCATTCAAAATTAGAGAGTACTGTCAAGTTTATTTCCACTGCATCAGGGAATGTTAACATATTTGAGAGGTGTTTGGAGTAAGAGTAAAACTGTCTGTAACATTCAGAAAAAGACGCTCTGTTGAAAAATAACAGTGTGTTTAAGACAGAGATGTCACGTACGTTGAGTACAGGATTGGACCAAGTGCATTTGGTGGAATCCCTACATGTTTATTAAAAAGTTAAAACACGAAAAAACAACAAAAAGCAATTTAAAGTGAAGAAAAACCAAAAAGTACACGAAAAACAAGCCAAACAAGAGACAAGATCTCACAAAAATAGGTGGCCCAAAAAATGGCTACCAAGGTATGACCCCCCAATCAGACCCAACGATGACAGCTCCCTCTGTTGGGAACCACATAGTTTATTCCCCAATAACAAGATATTCACCCCCTGCCCAAAAACCAACTAGTAAAACTCATGCGGGCGTGACAGTCCCCCCCCCCCCCCCCCCAAAAGGTGCGGACTCCGGCCGCAAACCAAAATTAACGGGGGAGGGTTGGGTGGGCATTTAGCCTCGGGGGGGCCCCGGATCTGGGCGTGACGTCCTCCCTTACGCCTCCCGGGGAAACCCCGGGGGCCCGGCCCTGGCCCTCGGCG